ATGATCAGGAATCACCAAGATGTCATGAAGTATACGGTTCATATGGCATGTTATGTGATGTGGTTTTTTTTTTAAAAAATCAATCTCATATAGAGAAATTTTTATTTTTTTTTTTATTTTTTATTTATTTTTTTTTTTTTTATTTAAATAATCTTTTTTTTATTTATGGCTCTTATATTTTTACGTTTCAAGCAAGCAGTGATACCTCACAAAGCAGGGGAGCAAAAATTTCCTTCCCACCTGTTTGTGACATCTCTAATCTAATCAAGGTAAAAATGGGCACAAAGGGGTGCTATTATGTAAAAAATTATTAACCATCGGATGATGGAAAATTTTCCAATACAGCTTTGAGCGGAGAAAATACTAACTCTCATATTCATATACTTAGAAATCATGTATCATCCTTGGTCTGGCTAAGGTGTATGTATCAGCAAAACAATAAATACATAATGATTTGTCGTGGGGATGATTTTTATTGAAATAACAATTTTATTTAATAAAATGATAAAATCTCAATGCATCCCAAAAAGACTATACAAAACTTATGTAATATAAATCGAGGAAAGAAATTCGGATTAGTCAACGATTAAATAGTACACATATAAACGGAGCCTTTATACTGCGTGAAGATGCTGTAAGTTATGAACAGGTAAGAAAGTATTTAGGTCTATGAAGCGCGGACATCGACATATGCCTCATCACTTGAGGATATCGAGAGGTAGCGGCAGGCTGTTGATCTATGATGAGAGTTCAGAATACATATCAAGGTGTATGAAGCGAAGTCTGGCACGCCTGTCATCTTACAAATCTATGGGAGAAATTTGTAAGTACAAATATCTGCTGTTGTCTACAAACAAATTATTTAACAATCAAATAAAAAATTTATAAATTCAACAATTCAGTTTTTTGGTTTAATTAAAATATCGTTGATTACTACTGGAGATGCGGGCGTGTAATGGTTTGCGTATTGGACTTGTTATACCACAGTTGGCGGTATAACAGATCCCCGAATCGATGCAGTGGATTTTAAGAGCGAAAAAATACTTACGCCCTTTCCCTTCGGAGTGGAAGTAAGCCGGCTGTCCTGTTAGTTTTTTAGATTTACTTTGCGTGTAAAGATCCTCAGCCTCAATGAAGTCTCTCAGCTAAATATCAAAATCGCCTGTTTCCAAGAAATATCCTCCTTTCTCCGCTAGTCGGTGAATGGAGCGTTAGCGAAATTGCGTGGTCAGCACGGAAGAGCGGGCCTGATGGCCGAGTCGCGCCCACACTAAAATAAGGCATTAATTCAAATCAATTTGAAGATCATAGATACCATTGGGAAAAGGTACAAGAATGTGAACGATATAAACAAATCGAGAATGATCTTCAGCTCTAAATTGTGAGGGAATATGAAATGATATAATATTTTTTAAATTTGAACGTTCAGTGAAATTATGCTGGTTTGACAACCCATACTCCAAGACAGTCAATGGTGCTTTGCATGGAAAGATCCTATAACTTAACAATTCTCATCGTATTATCTTTCCATTCAATGCAATTGCATATTTTTGTATTTTGCCGAAGAATTTTCCCACCAAATACATTTTAAAAATTGCTGGTACTGAACAATGTCAGCCATACACGTTTGGTGTTTCATGACCATTCTTCAGGGTTTGGGCAGTATTCAACTTGTATCTGAAAAATTGTATTTTTTAAATACATTGTATTTGAAAGATCTGTATTTTTTTTTGGCATGTACTTTAGAGATCTGTTGAAGTACATGAAGAAAGTATGTGTAAAAAAAAGGAAATACATAAAATACTTTAAATAGCAGGTGAAGAAGAAGATAGTTTAGAAAATCGAGGAGTTTTTTTTCTGTTTGATTCTGCTAGTGATGCACTTCTTGAACGCAAACATAAAATCCGGCTCCTTTCACTGTTGAATTTGGTTTTCTTTCATTTTTATGATAAATCTAAATCATTAAAAATACTTGACAATTATCTGAGCAATAAAAAAGCATTTAAAAAGACTAGTTTAATGCTTGTCCATGCCAGTTGAATGACTGTTTTTCCTTTGCAAATTTATACCATTCACCAACTAGGGGTTATTGTCTTGATGATTTCTGTGAAAAATTAGTCTTTAAAAGGAATACTTTCTTCTTCAACTAAACATAAGTAACAGAGTAAGATGATAAGTAAAAGAAAACAAGTATTAATATTTTTGCTCCAATTTGTTGTGCTTTTTTGAAGGAAATGCAGACTTCTTACAAATAAGAAAATAGTTTCCTCTAATTGAATAAATGGTTAGGTCTAGACGTTGTAAACGTTTTATATTAAACGCTTGGATCAAGCCGCGCCGTCCTTACAAACCTTAAACATTCTCTTAGTGGGGGTCTTGCTAACCAATTCCTAGGCAAAATTAACTCTCCTTAATAAAATTTCCGCGAATTAATAAGAATCCAATGTCATGGTTTTTTCTTTTCATCTTATGGTTGGAGCATCTAATTATGCCAATTAATAATGCCAAATAGTAATGATAATGAAATTAATAGTAATGCGAAATTTACAATAAATAGTTTTTTTGGAATGATATTGAATATTAGATAAGGGGTAATGCATAAAATCTCTATTAAAATTTTGTACCCACACCTGAAAGTTTAAATTTAAATTCCATTTCCGTTGCAATGGATAGCGCGAGTCCTTTATGTTCTTTAACACCTTTTAAGAATTAAACTATTAATCTTATTCCATGCTGCCTTATACTACTCATTGTTTTTTCATTCTTTACATATTGTGATAATTGGTTTTAATAAAAATGAAGATTAATGCAAATAATATAACCAATGAATAATTTTATTATAGGCGTTGTGTGTGAGTGGTACAATAGTAACCGTAGTAACAAAACATAATAAAAATATGAGTAAAATGCGGAAAATAAATGTTTAAAAATATGGTACAAAAATGGAAAATGCAGTGAACGTAGTAAGAACAATCGTGGTACAAATCCGCCTCAAGATAGATATCATATCAGACTCTTGACTTAGAATCTCGAATCATGACGCTAGTATCTTGGAAACGAAACGTTTCCTTTCTTCTTTGTATTATAACCGAGTGGCATTTTCATGCATATTTCAGGTGAAATTAGAACAGGACATGTGGATGACAAACACGAATTAAGAAACATTATCCTGAATGAAATTAATTTAAATGTAAGCGGTCGAAAGCAGAATACGGAATTTGAAGTTTCCTTCTCAAAAGCGTCATCAAGGACCTCTATCGCTCCTTAATTGGCTTGCAGGAGAAAAGAGTCAGCTTGAGACATCGACGCGTACTGGTGTGGCGTGCACTGGGCTTTGCTGCGTTTTCAGCTTTCACACACATGTGAATTAATGAAACTGTGACCTTTGAGTGATTAGGAACAAGTCATTGTTCTTGGAGACACAAATCTAATAGACTGCCTGTCCAGGGAGCGAAATGGTTGTAAAATGGAAGTGCGTGCGTGGACTGGTGAGAATCTCTGGCTGTAAATAGCAAAGCGGCAGGTTGGTGCTAACCGAATCGAGCTTTGCAGTGCATTGAGTGAAGGTGCCTCATCACTGCCCAAACTCTGGCCGGCACCCGCGGAAACCTATTGGAAATTGTAAAATCAATGTGTGTCTTATTCCTCGTGTTCGCTAATTGTTGCGACCTCGCGCAAATAGGCAGGCAGCGATTTTATGTAAAGCAAGAGCCGATTGGGATGTTGAGTAATGAAGAAGGACTGGCTAAAACTGGCTCGTCCATCTATTAACCGAATGAGCCGGAGCGATGGGTTCGTTTTGGGTCGGCTGGAGTTCTTTTACAGAAATGTCTCGGGCATGGGCGACAGTGGATATAGACATTGACAAGATGTATTAGGAGTTGTTAATTTAGTTTCCTTTTTTCGGTGACATTTCCATAGAGGCCTTTTGGAAATTGTACTTTTTAGATCCATTAGAAGGCTTAGAAACATTAGTAAAGAGTTAGGTTTTTACGGCCGTATCTTGATACTATTCGCGGCCAAGAAAAAAATACGAAGTTAGTGCACGCAGAAAGGAGTTGGGCTTAAAAATAATGAGTGAAATGAGTTTGGATTTTCGACAAATAGCGCAGTGGAATGATAAGGATAAAGAAAAAGAATTCATATGCCGTTGGAGCGGGAAATTAAACTGAAAAACAATTTAAACTCTCTCGCTAAACATCTAAACTTAAGATTGATAAATATTGCCCCTACAGGAGCCCTAATTTTTGATAATTCTTCCACACCATGCAATATATATATATTACATTAAAAATGTGCAATAATTTTGCAAATTATGGTATATGTTGTTTTTTGTTTTTTTTTTGCAAAAAACAAAAATGCATAAATAAACCATAAATTTTAAAATTATTGAAAAATAGCAAGTCAATAACTTGAGTATAGCACAACAAGTGTTGACTTATGCATCTCAGTAAAAGCCATAGTTTTTCAAATTTAATATCCCTTCACTATAAGTAAATAATACTTACTAAACCATTTACAGTATCAGTAGCCACACAAACAAAGAAGTTCATCTGTTTGTTATCATCCCAGTAAATTTTAAAATTTATCAAAAGTTGTGTAAATCATTTTTATCACAGATTTAATATATTTACAAAAATCAACAGCCTTATTACACAAGGCTAAGGGGTCCCTTTTCAAAATATTCAGAGGTTCTGTCCCTCTTATGTACACGCCCCTCCTTCACCACCGTTCCTCTTTTCCAAGACTGGTTCATTTCCTGAACTTTTATTTTCACATATATTCCCATTCTTCTGTATACACGAACACACTACTGGTCTTTATTTCTCTAAACTTACTACATACCAACCCTGTCCCTTCCAATGATGGTCTAATAATGTATCAAATAGTTTCTCTTTTTGCTGAACTCTAAATTCTTACTTTTCTTGTTTGTTAAAAATTCATATGTTTTTTGTAATATATAAAATAGTCCAATATTTTAAACGAAACATTTATTACAGAAAATTGATCTTTTGTCCATATTAAATGGAAGTGTATGTGTGAAATACAGCAATGCCCATTATGGTCATCCACGTAATATAATGAAGCTAAATCCAGGAAAAGACATGGGAGATGGATGGGAAACTGCCCGGCGTCTGGATAGACCAAGCATTCTGAAAGGTAAACATGATGAAACTATCACCAGTTCATGTGAACTTTAACTACAAGGCCCTTTCATAATAGTCCCCTCACTTGTCACATGTACAAGAAATTTGTCTCAATTACAGTTGATAAAAATAATATTTTGCAAGTTCCTGGCAATGAATGGGCAATATTCAAACTGGGATGCTCTGGTACAATACAAGAGATTGAAGTAGATACAAGCCATTTCAAAGGAAACTTTCCTGATTCTATCAAGGTTGAAGGCACAAAGGATATTAATGGAGATGATCTTTGGGAAATACTACTTCCTCCTGCTAAGGTATGTGCATAAATTTATTGTCTGATTTTTTGAAAACATTTTAATGTGATAATTCATAAAGTACAATAACATATTTAACCTTGTTTAACTTTTGCAGCTCTCACCACATAAAAACCATATATATCTAGAATCTGCACTTCAAGCAAAAGGTCCTTTCTCATATATTCGAGTGACAATTGCTCCTGATGGTGGAATAAGTCGTTTAAGACTGTGGGGTCATGCTGTATAGATACCTACATTTCATACTTCACAGCAATGGTTTTCTTTTAAATAAATATGCTTTTCTTGTTGTCCTTTGAGAGCTCATTTGAGTAAATTATATTTATAAGACTCTTGGCTAATCACAATTCGCAATTCTTACCATCTCTTTAACTAATTTTTCACAAGTGATTAGAAGAACACAATCATCCACAGAACCCATTTGACATTTGGCATCTACACGATTAACAGACAGTTTTTTAGGTCGCCTTGCTGATGCATGGAATTCAATAGCTCCTGTAGCATTAAGTATGTTAGCGAGATTATTTTCAGTAATTCCCGCTCCCGGCATAATCTTTATCCTATTTCCAGATTTCGAAATCAAACTCTTAATTAACCCAACTCCTTTCTCGGCACTCGTTTCTTGGCCGCTAGTCAAGATACGCGTAAAACCTAACCTTACTAATGTTTCTAAGCCTTCTAATGGATCTAAAAGTACATCAAAAGCTCTATGAAATGTCACCGGCAAAGGGGAAACTAAATTTAACAACTCTCTACATACATCTTCGTCAATTCTTCCACTTTCGTCCAGCGCGCCAAAAACGAACCCATCGGCTCCGGCATCGATGAGCAGTTTAGCATCCTTCTTCATTACTTCAACTTCCAATCGGCTGTACATAAAATCGCTGCCTGCGCGAGGTCGCAACATAGCGAACACAGGAATAGACACATATGATTTTACAATTTCCAATAGTCCGCGGGTGGGAGTGAGGCCACCTTCACTCAATGCACTGCAAAGCTCGATTCGGTTAGCACCACCTGCCGCTGCATTTACAGCAGATTCTACACAGTCCACGCACACTTCCATTACAACCATTTCGCTCCTGACAGCAGTGTGTCTCCAATGAACAATGACTTGTTCTAATCACTCAAAGTCACATGCATTAATCACAGGTGGTTGCTGAACGCAGCAAATGGTGCACGCACACCAGTACGCGTCGATGTCAAGCTGACTCTTTTCTTCCTGCAAGCCAATAAGGAAGCGAGGTCCTGATGACGCTTTGAGAGGAAACTTCAAATTCGTATCTGCTTCGACGCTTACATTAAATTACATTTCATACAGATAAATGTTTCTTAATTCGTGTTTTGTCATTCCACATAGTCCTGTCTAATTTCACTCTGCAAATTATTGCATGAAAATGCCACTCGTGTAATACAAAGAAACGTTTCGTTTTCAAGATACTACGTCATGATTCGAGATTCTAGTCAAGAGTCTGATATGATATCTATCTGAGCGGATTTGCACCACCGTTGTTTACTACGTTCACTGCATTTTCCATATTTTGTACCATATTTTAAACATTTATTCCGCATTTACTCATATTTTTATATGTTGTTGTTACTACGTCTACTATTGTACACTCACACACACGCCTATAATAAAATTTATTGTGGTATATTATTTTGCATTAATCTTCATTTTTATAAAACAATTATCACAATTATGTAATATAGAAATGAAAACAATGAGTAGTATAAGGCCAGTCATGGAATAAATTAATATTTTAATTCTAAAAGGTGTTAAAGAAAATAAAGGGACTCTCTGCTATCCATTGCAAGGAAATGGAATTTAATTTAAACTTTCAGGTGTGGTACAAAATTTTATAGAGATTATGCATTACCCCTTATCTAATATTTAATATCAATTCCAAAAACTAATTTATTGTAAATTTCATTACTATTAATCTTCATATCATTACTATTTGGCATTATTAAATTTTGGTATAATTAGATGCTCCAACCATAAGATGAAAAAGAAAAACATGACATGGATTCTTATTAATTCGGAAATTTTATTAAGGAGGTTAATTTTCCTAGGAATTGGTTAGCAAACCCCCACTAAGATGAATGTTTAAGTTTGTAAGGTTGATCCAAGCGTATGAATATAAAACATACAACGTCTAGACCTAACCATTTATTCATTAGAGGAACTATTTTCTTATTTGTAAAGAAGTCTGCATTTTTCCTTCAAAAAAGCACAACAAAATTTGAGCCAAATATTAATACTTTGTTTCTTTTACTTTATCATCTTACTCTGTACTTATGTAGTGAAGAGAAAGTATTCCTTTTAAAGACTAATTTTTCACAGAAATCATCAGACAATAAACCCCTAGTTGGTGAATGTATAAAATTTGCAAAGGAAAACAGTCATTCAACTGGCATGGACAAGCATAAACTAGTCTTTTAAATGCTTTTTTTATTGTCAGATAATTGTCAAGTATTTTTAATGATTTAGATTTATCATTTAAAAATGAAGAGAAACCAAATTCAACAGCTGAAAGGAGCTTTTATGTTTGGTTCAATGAAGTGCATTCACTAGCAGAATCAAACAGAAAAAAAACTCCTCATTCTAAACTATCTTCTTCTTCACCTGTATTTAAAGTATTTTATGTATTTCTTTTTTTACACATACTTTCTTCATGTACTTCAACAGATCTCTAAAGTACATGCCAAAAAAATACAGATTTTCAAATACCAAATGAATTTAAAATACATATTTCAGATACAAGTTGAATACTGCCCAACCCTGAAGATGGTCATGAAAGCACCAAAGTGTATGGCTGACATTGTTCATTACACAATTTTAAAATGTATTGGTGGAAAATTCTTCAGGCAAATACAAAATATGTCATGCATTGAATGAAATAATACGATGAGAATTGTTAAGTTAGTAGGTATCTTTCACATGCAAGCACCATTGACTGTCTTGAGTATGGGGCAAACCAGCATAATTTCACTGAACTTCAAATTTTGAAAAAATATTATATCATTCATATTCCCTCACAATTAGAGCTGAAGATCATTCTGTGTTGTATATGGCTCTTCTAAAAAGTAATGAGGAAAGAGCTATTCACAATTCTTGTACCTTTTCCCAATGTATCTAATGATCTCAAATTGATTTGAATTAATGCCTTATTTTACGTGGCGTGACTCGGGCCATCAGGCCCGCTCTTCCGTCTGACCACGCAGATTTCGCTACGCTCCATTCACCGACTAGCGGAGAAAGGAGGTATTTCTTGAAACAGGCGATTTGAATTTAGCTGAGAGGCGTCATTGAGGCTTGAGGATCTTTTACATGCAAGTAAATCTACTAACATGGGACAGCCGGCTTTACTTCCACTCCGAAGGAAGGGCGTAAGTATTTTTTCGCTCTTAAAAATCCACGGCATCGATCGGGTCTGTTATACCCGCCAACTGTGGTATAACAGTCCAATACGCTAACCATTACACGCCGCCATCTCCAGTATCAACGATATTTATTAAACAAAACTGATGAATTATAATTTTTTGATTTAATAATTTGTTTTAGAATCAGATATATACAAATTTCTCATAATTTGTATCACTTCTTAGTTATTTATCTCAATCCATAATCTGTCTTCTTAAGCTTTCCATGAATACGAATTCGATATATACAAGTGTAGTTTGGATGACCATAATTAGAATGGAATTTTACAAGCACATGGTCAAATGGTTCACTGCTCTGAAACTAAAATAAAAAAAATTAGGAGATAAAAACACAAAAACATGACATCTGTGATTCATCATTTTGTGGACTCAGTAATAAATATTGTCTCAAAGCTTCACATTAACCATGTCTAGAAATAAATGTAACACCTAATTTCTTCTCCAATTTCTTAGAATGGTCAATGCTCATCAAATATGCCTTATTTTGACAATAATTAAAAACAATGAAATTTTATTTTTGATAATGTATAGGATTTGAATGCACAATAATGCTGTGGCTACATATGAACATAGTATCTGAACAGGGATAGCCAGTTATAGATACAATTAATCCATTTGTAGATGCCTCATTCATGATGACCTTTAAATTAAACTTTTAAATGTTGAAATCAAAGTAACTAACAATTTTCCAAAATTCAGTGTGAGAATTCATTGAAGATGTGCTGTGAAAGAGATAATGGTCTCTCTTTCTCATATCAATTCGTCAATGGATCACTTTTTATTTTGGAAGATACAGAAAGGTTTATTGACAAAGATGCATTGGGCCTATTAACAACGAAACACATAAATGAAAACAATGATTGACAAATAAACAGCCCTACATGGACAGTCAGAAGCCTCATGTGTGTGTGTGCAAAATAAATACAAATTGAATGTTTTAACTTGTTTATTCATTTTGTTAACAAGTTGCACACTATTTAACCCGAAAAAAAACATCAATTACTTCTGCAAGAACACACAATGAGCTCTTATTACAATGTAGTGTAGCCAAAAGTATACAACTATAATCCTATGTATAATAGCACAGCCACACAAAAAATGTGAGTTTGTGACTGGGGATCAGACCATGTCTTCTGTATGTTTTTAGTGTCGCTAAATCCAAATTCAGTGTCCATTTTACTCCATCACATCAGGTTTTTTACATAACCTCAAAAAATATAAAAAATTAAAGATATTTGTAGGCGAGGGGTCAGACCCTGTTACCTACATGTTTTGGGGGTCACTGAAACCGAATCTGAAGTCCACTTAACTTCCTCAAATCAAATTTTTTTCCTCATAACCACAAAAAAATAAAAAACCTTTGTCTACATGGAAAGAAGGCTAGAGATCTGGCACCAACAATATATGCAATCTACCATCAAATAATGTGATGAATGTTGTACCATCAGGAGCCAATGCCATATTCTCAATCAATTATAATTGGTCTGAATAAAAAAAATCTGATATATATACCCCTGTAACAATTGCAATCAGCTTCTAGGCTAATGAACCCCATCTTAATCTAGTTTTTCATTCATTGATCCATTGAACAAATGTTGAAATGGTCCCTCGCTTTGCAACAGAACACTATTAGTAGCTTTTCTCCCTCTGGAGTCATATACTACTTTTTTCTGTTTTTGACATTAAATAATTAAATAGAATTAAAAAATAGTGAAATGAGCCCTAGAGGAGATGTATTAAATCATCTTTCTGAGAAACGACTCTGAAATTCAAATGTAAGTTAACAAATTAAAAGAAAGGTAATCTTATGGCACCTGCACTGGGAAGTTCTGCACAGGTTTCCTGGAGTTATCATAAACAAAGTTTCCAAGTAAAACTCGTTCATCATCCTTTTGACAACTAATACCCTGTGAAAAGAAAATTAATTAAAATAGGTAAGAAATTATATCTATCTATATATACATATATATATATATATATATATATATATATATATATATATATATATATATATATATATATATATATATACACAAAACAAAATTGTTTCCACATTGTGTTTTTAATTTAGTATTACAACAGTAGTAGAGTTCATTACAAATAAACAAGTAACATACAGAAGAGAGCTTCATGATATACTAATTTACTTCAGAAAATAACTGTTGTAATACTATAGCAAAATACCTAGAAAATGTTTTAATGAAAATGAAACAATATTAATTAAAATAGCTTAAAACACACTTTGACAACCTGAGTTGGTTCCCATGGAAAGCATGACTCACAACTGCATTTTTGCTCTTGTTATCTGTGCAGGATAATATCTTGGCTGGTCCATTACAAGAACTTGGCCTTTTATAAGAATGCTACCTTAAATGTATATCCTTGCATTCTAAGTTTATTATTAGAGCATTATCTGTCTCCAAGAGAAATGAATACATAATAAAAAAATGTGTGGCATTGCTTTTTACAACAAAGCCAGTCTATTTCTTGTTTATACATCTAACTATTCCTCATCAATTCATTATTACTAAAATTTGTGGAAACTACTGAGAAGATTTAGAAGTGAAATAATATACAACATTTATTTTATTTAATTTAATTTAGAAGGAAGATGTAATTTTCTTTCTTTTGAGTCAAAGTATTCTAAAAAATTGATAAGGTGGGAATTTTGTTTACTCTTGAAAAATCAGATCAGAAAGTAAAAGAAAATATAAGTAACATAACAAAACCTGCAGAAGGGAATCAAAAAAGGAAAACAAATTTTGTTCTTCAGGTGAGATAATGAACTGTCAATTCATAATCTTCAGATTATTAGTCTTTATTCCATTATTGCTGTACTGTCCTGTTTTATAATTCTGCATTCATTTATAAGCTGAATACCCATTAAAGTTAGGAAGACATGTTTGGTGTGTTCTTAATATTGTCTGTAGTATTTTTCATTGTGGTTTTTTATTTCCATTTACCTTATAATGGAATTCATACAAATTTTGTTGAAGCCATCAAAATAAATTCTTACCCATAATGAAAATTCACGAGGAGCTGTTCTAGTATGACCAGTTGGAGAAATGTCCAGTGGAATGTGTTCCAAGGAAACACTGGTTATGTTTACAGTTCCCAATAATCTTATTACAGCTGCTCCACTTCCACCTTTAAATGCCCAACACTCTCCAGGAAGGGAGCTAGCCTGTTGGTATCAAAGATAATAAGGTAATGGTACATTGAAATCAAATACTAAGGCCATACACTGGTTACAAGTCATACTATGTACCCTTATCATTTCTCCAGGAGTATTTTTAGGATAACAC